CCAGGGGAGGCCTATCAAGAGGACCTACCCCCGTCACCGGTGCCTGTATGCGGCCCTCTGCAAGCAGGCGTTCATGAAACCGCTCAGCATATGTAGGCTGATCATCAGGGCGTGCACACTGCGGCTCCACGACAAGGATGCACTCATTGTCCTCCGGTCCGTCTATGCGGACGGCGTCGACGAAGGACTTCGTAAGCTCCTCAACCTCCTGGGCTATGCCAGGGGCGCGGTGCAAACACTTGGGGCACTGCCCTTTGCACGCTTTGCTGCCCATGAACGGCCAACTGTTCGCTGCACTCATGTGAGTGAGGCTGACGGAGCAATCCGGCACAAGCTCCAAAAGCGTCGCATGGGTAAGGATACCCGCCGCAACAGATCTATGTCTGTTGGCCTTGCAAACAACATGCACGGCTATGGACCGAATCCCAGCATCCTTGGCGTCGAGGATGTTCGCCAAGATGTGCCTGACGTGGGCAATCAAATTGGGATGGTCTGCGTGCTCCCGAATTATATCGGGGTTTGACCCAACATGCTTTGTGCGGTCGCGCTGTTCATCGTTGCGCTGCTGGGCTTCTGCAGGCGTCAGATCGTCTTTGCGATCGTCCTTTAGCCACACCATGTCCAACATCACCAGCATATAGCTGGTGGCAGACGCATACGTCGTGGTTGCATGCGTTTCCATCTCTTCGTGCTGTGCGAAGAGCTCGGCTGCTGTCCACTTCCCTCTGACGCGTTGCAGCCAGGCATGGTGCTCATAGCCCCAGGTAAAAACATCAATAATGATGTCCGGGTTCGCTATGTCCCCCGCATAATACGGCTGCAAGGCCAAATCCGGATTATACACGGATGCTGGGAGAGGCGTGTCGAGCTCCGGACCGTGGGGTCCTCCACCTGCCATTATAACCAGGTTCCTGCCATGCGGGTCCTTCTTCACAACCGCATCAAACTCGGCCAGCTCGCGGTGCCCTCTTGCAATCTCCTTCGGGTGCACTGTGGCACGAGCTGCTGGCGGAATTCCTGGGCTATCCCCAGGCCTGGCCTTCTCCGTGGGAGGCGCCTTCTTGGGCAGTCCACCTCCAGGCGGCGCCTTAGGCGCAGGCGCGGAGAAAGTGCCTCCTGCCGGTGTGGCACTGTGGCCGACCGCTGGTGACTTCGCCATGGCACTGTGGCCAGGGTCCGGCGCTGCAAGAACCTTCGGTGCAGCCTTTGCCGTTGGGGGCGCCTTCTTAGGCAGCTGCCCCTCTGCTGCGGCCATCGCGGTGGGCTCCGTGTCTCCTACGGACGTGCCTACCATGCAATGGTTCGGAAACGCTACGCTTATGCGTCGCTTGGTGTTGTTGCGATTCTCAGCTGTCGTTGTAAAGCTGTGACCGTGGCCTACGCCTACAGTGCTATGACCATGGCCTGCATCTACAGTGCTGTGACTGCGACTTGTTGCCACTGCGTCATCTGCCGCTGTTGCATCTCGGGGTGATCCACTCACGGACTCTGAGTGAGCTAAGGCGGCGGCGGCAGACCTAAATATAGGAACTGGCGGCGAGGGAATTTGGAAGCTCTTTATGAGACGGGGTTGTTTCACCTGGGTCAAGCCTTCTGTTATGTTTATGCATAACAGCCCTGAGTCATGTGTCCGACACAGCTTGATCCTAATGATGCTATCCTCTGAAGGAAGTCTAACACCACACTCACCAAACCGAAGATCTTTGGTTATACCAAGCTGGGCCTGCGCGTAAAGGGACAAAAGGAGAGGGGCTGTACCCTTAATCTCATGCGAATCAAGGACGCCCGGAACTCTCAAGTCCTGCTCCAATCCCATTATAGAGAAAGGTATGGTCCTGCTACCCAAGGTCTCGGTAGCACCGCTAAGACCCTTGAAGGTACGATTGCCCTCAGGTTTAAACCTCGTGCTGTAACCGAAGTTCGCAAGTTTCCCCGCCGCGTTTGCTATCCAATCGCTACCGTGAACAGTCGAGTTACAGCCCTCATCCAACACGGCGTATACGTGCTTATCCTCGTAGATATTTACTACGGGCAAATCAACCAAAGCCGGATGGATATCTGTGACCCCCTCAGTGAAAGCCACGAAGGCGTGCCTCGTCGCGGAGGCCCTCGAGGAGCGCGATCTCGCCGACGCCACTTCCCAACTGTTGTTGGTCGATGGCGCAGAGTGATCGTCTAAGGCCTCTTGCAGGTATGCGAGAAGGTCACCGCGGGATATCACGGGCTCGGTTACGAAGTGACCCTCTATGGTCTCTTGAAACTGGGTAATAGCCGGGACTACTACCTCTACGGGGAGGCTATCCCCCGTGCTGCCGACTATGCTGCGCAGAAGATCGAAGTCCAGGGTGTTGGACTCCCGCAGCACTGTGGCTGCGTCATCCCTAGCCTTTCGCTCGGTCTGCGGCTGCTCATCTAGAAGCATCCCACAAAGCTTGCACTTAATGCGGGAGGTCTTCCTACTGCTACCCGACCTCTCGGTGGAGGTGTGGGGGCATGTGGCCTGATCTATGACAGGCTTCTCTTTCTTCGTCTTGGTGACGGTGCCGCATTTCTTACAGGTCCGCATGTCTATGTATGCGTTACTCCCCGACTTGTTGAACTCCTTGCAACCTCCCCGGCATTTCCGGGGGCCTTCGCTGGACGAAGCAGCTGACGCGGCGAGGCGAACCTCGGGCTGAAAGGGTTCAGGCGGGGGTTCCTGGCTGAGAGGGATATCCCTTCTCGTAATGCTAATGGGGTTATCATCACGCACATCAAAGTACTCCGTGACCCAATCCAAGAAGTCGGCCAAATTTATGGATGGGCACTTCTGCGTGCGTCCCCAAAGAACATACCCAGGAAACGTATACAAGACACGCTCATAAGTCAGACCCTTATGCTGACCAAAGGAGAAAACGCGATCGGAACCCTCAGGCGGGCTGTCACGCATGATCCTAGCGGCGGCTGTGCGCCGAAGCTGTGGTGAGAAGAGGGTTTCATTGCCGCGGCCTTTGCCGGTATTGGTCTTTGAGGGAGTCAGCTCAAGGTTGGCTGGGTAACCCTCGAGCCTACCAGCGCTCGCATTCGACAGATGGACACACTCTGTGTCATCCTCCTCCACTGCGGCGAAATACGCCTGAGGCTTCGGCGCCGCCGACTTTGCGGCTGCATTGGCAGTTCCCCCAGACTGTGCTGGGGTTGCGGTGCCCTTGGAGCCATTGCCCTTACCGCTAAACTTGCAGGCAGCATCTCCGGCCCAATGGCCGATCACACCGCACTTCAGGCACCTACTCTTTGCCTTAAGCTCTGCTAACTTGGCCTTACGGTCAGCAATGGTCAAATTGCTACGCACGACCTTCCCTCCGGATTTTCCGGGGGACTTGCCCTTGTTCTTCCCCTTTCCTTTTCCTTTCGCCTGGGCAAAGGCGGTCTGTGCCGCGTACGCAAGCTGAACTGACTCGGCATAGGAATCATCCAAATCGTCAATCTCAGCTTCATATGCCACTGCCGTATAGGCGTTGAGTTGCAATGCTAGATCCTCATCATCAATCCATTCATCCGCATCATCTCCCCCAGACGCTGTGGCCTGGTATGCTTCTTCGCCGTAGCCGTCACCGTAGCCTTCCGCGGATTCCTGTTGTTCCTGGTAACCATACTCTGCGGCACTACCATCATACCCCATATAGCCGAACTTAGGGTATTGGGGCTTAGCGTCGAAACGTCTCCAGGTCTTACCTGGGCCACTAGGGTCCTTCTGGGTAAGAAGACGTTCCTTCATGTGCACCACTGAGTGATGCTGAACAAGGACGCGTGCGTACTCATCCACGCTGTGTACGCGGGCGGCGGTCTTGACCATTAGCTGCTCGGACCTTTCCAACCCTGAAAGCTCAACAAGGAGATTAGCCCTCATTGCTTCAGAAAGGCGGATATCAGGATCCAGCTCACGCAAGGTCGACCACCACCGCTTTCGGCGGGCTATGTAAGACAACATAGGCTCGCCAGGTTGCTTTGCAAGTGGGCCCGTCAGGAGCTGTCCCTGACGGAAAAGTTCGGACGCCTCTTCGGATTGAAGAGGGAAGGCTTGCCTCCTGATTTCTTCTATCAGGTAGTCGACGCCGTCATGGCGAAGCAGACGTTCCAGGCCGACGTCGCGAGCGATGCAAAAGGCATCTCCTCGGAGACCCTCTAGGATCTTGCTAACGCATTCGCTCATGTCGAGCGACTCGTCCTTGACGTCTTGCAAGGTGTACACCGCCGGATCTGTGTCCGGCTCTTGCTCATCGTCGCCCGCCACTTGGCTGGGGTGCGACGGTAGCGACTCCGCATCCTCATCTTCTGCCTCGGACGCGGGCTTAGTCCGTTTTGCGCTGGACGGACTGGCGGGTATACCGCTGCTTCCATCACCATCTGTGGGCGATGCACTGGTCCCCTGACTTGCCCTGCCACGCCACTTCCTTGGTGACTCGCTCTTGGCCCTTGCCGACTCGGCAAAACGCAGGTCCTTAAGAGCTTCGCGCCGCTGCTTCTCCTTATGCTGCAGCACACGGATCTGTGTCCGGAAGCACCAATCGTGGAAGCCAGCAGCCGACCCGTCGTATATGTACGAGCCGCTTTTGGTTTCTGCATGGCTCAGGTTCTGTGACCAGAGATTGGGCTGGTAACGCAAACCTGCCACGCTCATGGCTTCGAGGATAGAAGGGGCCTTTGCGCCGCGACTATCACTACTCTACCCAACGGACCCCGGACCACAGGCTCAACGGGGGTGAAACACTAGTGGTTGTCCTCACAGCTCCGCTACCAGTTTGAAGCAGGAACTGGATTAGTGAGTGTCCAACCACACAAACGAGCACACTTTTTGGTCTGAGCCCAAGACGTCTGTCGTACAGGGTGCGTTCAGAACTAACACAAAAACTACGCTCGCATGAGGACATGTCAACACGGCGCTTCAAGACAGGGAAATTTCACAACCCTAAACCCAACAGAGCCCTGAAAGGAACCCGGGCTTCGATCGAGGCCCCGGCCCCGAGGCGGCTGTGCGCCGCAGGCCCGCGCCTGCAAAAGGGCCGCTAAAGAAGACTGGGTTTGGGTTTAGGGTTTAGGGTTTAGGGTTGTTGGGGGATTCCATTAAGGAGGTTCCTTCAAGGGTTTCCTCTGAGGGCTCCTTCAAGCTTTTTCTTGAGGGTTTAGGGATGTTTAGGGTTAGGGTTTAGGGGTTAAGGCGTAGGTTCCTTTGGTGATTGGAGGATCTCAGGAGATGTTACAGGAGCATTGGCGAATAAGAAGACACTTGCGCTGAAACATTTCAACGACGTCCGCAACGTATTGAACTGGATAACCCGCATCGTGCCGATGCCAGAATCCGTCGTCTGAATAGCCCTTAATGGCGCAGACTTGTTGACGAATATCAGCATCCTAATCTGCGACTAGTCGCTGCTTGTTCGGGTTGCGGATGGTGCAGACCCTTTTGTTGAGGATAGTGTCAAAGCGCCGGCTGGTGGCCCAACTCATACGGAATCGCCGCTTCAGGTCTTCACTGAAGCATTTCTAGACGTTTTTTGCCTGAGAGTTGCCTCGAGATGCTCTGGCGATCGCTTGACCGGTAGAGCCTCTCGCTCCCAGATCCAAACCCAAGCAAGCATAATGTAAGAACCTGATTAAGAAACCTTGGGCCTTTATTAGGGTTCTTCATATGGGTGGTTGTCAATATTGGGGTCCCTTTTTGGGTCCTTACTAGAATACGGCACCTATTATTTAGGGTACCCAGAAAGGGGCCATAATTTTGACAACTACCCATATGGGGTTATAAAGGGACAGGGTGTCTTGATCAGGTTCCTACATCAGTGCTCCAAGCCTTCTGGGCTTTGCCACCTGCTCCTGCGTCACCTTCGTGAATGCAGAGGGTCCATATACACTACCATTACGGAATTAGGTACGAAAAGACCATCCCTGTTATGGTTTTGGGGGCCTAGTTCCATAATGGTAGTGTATATGGATCCTTCGTGAAGTCCAGCGAGTGCTCTTGGGCGAACATGCGGATCGCACGTGCCAGGGTGTTGTCCTCCTCTCGAAAAAGTTTAGAAGACTTCGGGATTTGGGGTGCAGTTTAGGGTTTAGGGGAAACCCTACGGCCTACTACACGGATCTCTATACGGGTTTGTTATATGTGGGTTCAGTGGTTTTCGGGTTGAGGGTAGAGGGGCTCATAGGGTTTATAAACTTTTGGGGCTAAGTCTTTGAGCTTTAGAGCTCTGGGTTTATCTCGTGGGGTTCAGGGGCTTAGGGGATTACAGTTTAGTTTAGGGCTATCAGGGCTTAAGGTGCATAGGCTTACGGGGTGTACGGATTGTAGAGTTTAGGGTTTGGGCTTTTGGGCTTCTGGGGTGTGGGGTCTACGGCTTACAGGGTTTAGGGGTTGGGCTTCATCGGTGGTTTTTTGTCTCTCGGGATGCGATATTCCTCATTGCTTAACCGTACATTCAATATTGAAGGCTACAGCCGAAACTCCAAACTCAAAATCCTGAACCCTGAACATGCTAAACCCAACACCCACATCGTAAACTCTGTACCCCTCAACCCCAACATTGAACTACCAAAACCTGCTTTTTCATAGGGCTCCTCTAAAGTCTGTAAGGGTGCATACATAATCAGAGGCCACAAAACCAGTAGCTTATGGTAGAGCGTGAGACCCCAAAATGCATTGAACACCAAGGGCGCCTGGCTGTGAGCCCGTCGACAAAAGAGAGCCGGCCTGAAATGGCACACGCTTGGGATTTTCGGCTGAATGCTTCGGCTTTCAGGTTTGTGGGCTATTTTAGGGTTTAGGGTTTAGGGTTTAGGGTTTAGGGTTTAGGGTTTAGGACTTACCCCAAGGGTCCATGTACCCAAACAGTATATACTTTGGGCCCAATGTACCTACATAGGGAGTGCTTCAAGGCCAATGTATATACTATATGAGTTCATGGACCCTTAGGATTAGGGCTCTGGGGGGCTTCAAGTTTAAAGCTTCGGGCTCAGCGTTCAGGGTTGCGTTGAAGGCTTGAGGCTTAGGGTGCAGGCTTTGGGACTTAGGATTTTCCTGGCACCTGCGGCTTATAAAGCCTAGGATGGGGCTGTTTAGGGTTTAGGGTTAAGGGCTTAGGGTTAAGGGGTCTAGGGTTAAGGGTTAAGAGTTTAGAGTGCTTACGGTCTACGGCTCACGGATCTTTTGCCATTCCGGAGGCCACGAGGTCGCCTCCACAATTCGTCATATGGTCGCCCTGCCATCGGCCTATGCAAGTCAAGCACAAAACGAACCCCAAAACTCGGGAACCCTGCACCTCAAAGCAGCAAAAACCTGAACCCCAAACCCCCGTCGAAACCCATGGATCCTCATCGTCCCCCACACTGTGATCTGTATCGAAAGCTCCTCCGCGCCTTCACCTAGACCCTGTGAGCCCGAACCCCCCTTGCCACGTTTCTGTACTGAGGTCCTGGCACTCTGTGCGCGCGACAGCTCCGAATGACTGGCAGGATTACGATGTCGAGCTTGGGTCGTTGTGGGCGGGTGCTTGGAGGATCATGGGACTTAGTAACTAGGGTTACTACTAAGGTAACTCTACGTATAACTACTTACAACCCCTATGAAGCTACTTATAACCATACTTACTAAGTCCCATGATCCTCCAAGTGGGGGAGCTTGAGGGCGTGAGAGTCTAGGGTCCAGGGTTCGGCTAAGGGTTCCTACTGGCATCTTGAACATTCACCGGTGTGCTTGCTTTGGCTGTCCGACTTCATTGGGATCATCTCGGTCCAAGACTTGCAGCTCCATAAGCGCCTCTGAACCCTGACAGGACCAAACCCCTATAGAACACGTATAGAATCCCTCTAAAACACCCGAGTCGAACCGCATGGATCCCGTATAAAACCCCCATGAAAAAACCTCAAGAACCTGCCTTAACCAAAGCCCTATCGTTTAGGGTCTAGGGTTCCTTTATTTGGGGCTTTAGGATTGAAAGAATTAGGGCTCTCAACAGGTTGAGGTATAGTTTTGGGTCCCCAAGAATCCGATGTACCCAGATAGATAGTAATGTAGGAACCTGATGAAAGAACCTTGGGCTTTAATTAGGGTTCCTTATATGAACCCTACTATTCTGGGGTTGTGGGCCCAGGGCTTCTTAAGGTTCCTACAGTATGTGGGGGTTTCCGCAAATTAGGGGTACCTTATTTGGGGGTCCTGTATATTAAGGGTCCCCCCATTTTCGGAAACCCCCATGTGCTTCGGTGAAGGGCAAGGCTTCAGGGTGTTGGGGTTTAGGGCTCAGGGTGCAGGGCGTTACTAGGATTGGGTAGCTTTATAAGGAACCTAGGAGTACAAAAAAGGGAATAAGGGCACTACTGGGCAGCCTAGTTTATGATGCAGTGCTGCAAGTTTGGGATGCTTGACGAGGCAATGCAATCTGAAAGTTTGGTGTTCAAGATTGCTTGGCCGCATGGGCCTACGCGTATATGGTTGCAGGCGAGGGCTTGAAGCCTTGGCTTTGGGCTTTAGAGTTAGGGTTTAGGGTTTAGGGTTCGGGGTTCAGGGTTTATGGTTTAGGGATTACGGCTGAGGGTTTAGGAGGTGTGAAAGCGTTAACAGCTCCCAAACCCACCTTCCGGCGCCCATCGCACCTGAGAGGGCTACGTCGATGGTGAGAGTCTGTCCAATCCGCCACCCTTCCTATAGGGGCCTTGATAATTTGAATAGGGTTCCATGTAAAGGAATCCGTAAAGAGCTGCTATAACGAATCTATGGTAGGTTTCTATGGTATGAGGGCGTTAATAATTAGAATAGGGTTTTGGGGCGTAGCATACTATAGCTATAATAAGGAACCCTAGGAATAATTTTGGTAATTACTTAAGCCCCTATAATACCTTCTCAACCCAAGCAGTAGAGGGCACTAACAAAGCCCTGCATCACAAACAGGCCTAGCACCTCAAAGAAATCCCTCTGTCCCAGGAATGCCTCACACCGAGCTACAAGGGCCTCGTTAATTAGGCTACGGTTAACGGTTTCTGATGTTATTAAAAATTTCCCAACCACGATAACCCTAAAACCCTTTCTTTCTCTCTCCTAGAACATCCTAAACCTTCTTTGCAAAAAAATTACACTGTAAACCCACACCCATCCACGAAATTTTATCGAAATGGATGCAAACTGGAAGCCCCGGGGTTGCAAGGCAGAGAGTACTTGGAGGGTCGGGGGACTTAGTAACTGGTTATTTTAGGGACTTATAAGTACCATAACCCCAATTAGGGTCCCTTTTAGGGTACCTATAAGTCTACTTACTACCTACTTACTAAGTCCCCCGACCCTCCAAGTAGAGGGCTTGGGGTTCGGGTGCTACTCCCCAAATCCCACTGCCCTGGAACTGGAAGGCTCACGCTAAACCCTAAACCCTTTAAGCCCTATAGATCTTAAATCTTACAAAACCTAGTATTGAAAATACCTTATAAACCGTATAACCCTTCTGAGCCCTATACATCTGATACACCCTAACTACATCTACAAACCCTGAACTCTCTGCCGAAGGGCCGGGATCCAGCTGTCGGCGGCTCAGCTCCGCGACACCGCGGACAAGGGAGGACATGCCTTGAACTCTTGTTGCTTCGGGTTTAGGAGTCTGAATAGGGTTCTGGGTCGGTAGGGTTTAGGGTTTAGGGTCGCTGTCCAGGGTTCCACCGAGGGTTTTATAGGGCTGTACTGCCAGGGATACTACTGGCATGCATGCAGCTGGTTGGGATTTCCGGGGGGTGCTTCTTTGGTTCGTCTGCGGAGGTATAGGTTGTGACATAGCATTGCCACTGCTCCTTTCTGAACTCTACATCAGAAAGTTTCTACTTTCGGCCTTCACCAGGCCGCGCAACAGGACTCTTACAACACCGTGCGCCAGGAAACCACGTGGATCCTGAATCCTACCAGGACCGTCCAAGGTATCCCACCTCATTCTGGAATCTACCTTAAATGTATCATAGTTTCTCATGAAAACCTGTACATCTTAGGTTCTACCTTAACCCCAAATAACCTACTTCTTTAAGACTTATACAAAGAAATCATAATCAGGATCCCTGAAAAGGTAGGTCTTATAATGGTTTTATAGGGTCCAGGTATACAATGCTTGCGGCTGTCTGGCGACTTTGTGCAGGACAACCTCAGCGCGCCGCTCGGCACGCGCTGCGCCTTGCTCGTCCACCGAGCCTGCCGTCGCTCAAGGCTCACGGCAGAGATCCGATCCGAACAGAAAGCTTTCTCTAGAGAGCTTCAAGTCTAGGGCTTTCAGGGTCTTTAGGGGTTTGTAAGCTTTAACATCTAAGGGTGGATTCGAGTGTCTGGGGCTTTGAGGTTTCTCGGGTTTCCAATGGCTTCTTGTCAAGAGAGCTTTCGAACGGCTCTAGGGGCATCTGGTCCACCTACGTCGCGTGCACATCCGTGTAATGTAGGGGCCTTCATAATTTGCATAGGGTTTTGGGGGCCCCAGTATACTATAACTATAATATAAGGAACCCCCCCAAAAATAGTCTAGTCTAGGTACTTATTGAGGCCCGTAAACCCTAAACCCTAGCCCCTGGATTAGATTAGCGAACACTCGACTTGAAGATTGGGCCTCGGGGCTTTTCGGGTTAGGTCCAGACCCTTGGGATGAGGGGCCAGGGATTCCCAGCCCCCCCAGGTGTCACTTCGACCAGCACATCTAGGATGCGCAGTAACCTAGGGATAATATGGGCTCCCTTTTTGGCATTGGGTATCTGTAGAAGGAACCTGGGACTACAAAAAGGGAACAAGGGGACTACTGGGCATCGTAGACATCTGATCGCGACCTAAAATTGAGAAAGCTGACATAATGGGAGAGTTTGGCTACGGGGGGTTCGACTTCGGACCCTGAATTACTGCAATCACAGGGCCCCCCAAAAAGGCGCATAAGCAAAGATAAGGATAGGGATATCCCTTCAAATTCCCCTTATAATGAAGCCCAATAAGGTAGGGATATCCCTATAAAATGCTTATGCTTCTGTGCTTTGGGGGTCCCTTAAATCATCCCTTGGCCCCCGAAAGCAGCACGGAGTAGCCTCAACGCACTGTTACTGTTGCAGTCGGATCCCGAAGCAGCCACTACATCAGAACCGAAGACAGAAGCCGACAACAGCGGTTAAAGTTTAGGGTGTAACCCAGGCATCTTGGAGTTTAGGGTTTAGGGTTTAGGAAGGCGTCTTGTACTAAAGCGACATATACATAAACCCGACACCCTACCTGAACTCCCACCCCCCCCCCCCCAACCCGATGCTGCCTGCAAGAGCTTGGTCTCTGTCCAAAGCTCCGAGAGCTGGGATGACTGGTACTTGATGGTATTGCACATGGCCCTGAGGGCTCGGTGTTTTTGCAGAGCTTCATGGAAGCCGTGAGGACTTGGGATCTAAGGTTAAGATTTGGGGGCTTGTCTACAGGTTTGGGATTCGGGAAATTGTGGCTTTAGGGGTTTGGGGTTGGGCATTTCCGTGGCTCACAGGTTGAGTGACTAGGCTTTCATGCTTGCACATGGCCCCGAGGGTTAGGGGTTTCGGGACTTGTGGATTTACGAATACAGCCTAAACCCTACACCCTGAACCCGAGATGCTTACGGTTTTGGGGTTCAGCGCTTTGGATTGAAGGCTGGATGCTCGGGGCAGTCGAGTTTGGGGTTTAGGGATAGGGTCTAGGGTTTGGGGTGTAGGGTTTAGGGCTGAGGTCAGGATTCAGGGTTACGGCCTATGGCTGGGCTGAGGGCAGAGGGTTTATGTTCACGCATCCTCAAACCCTACACCCTAAACCCCTCAACCCTAAACTCCAAACCGCAAACCGTCCCAAAGGCGCACTAGGTGTCTAGGATGAGGTCTCTACCTATCGGACCTCTGACTCCTCAGATCCCCTTCTTTGATTTCCAAGAGCTCTACCGTAAGTTACATACAGAACCTACACCATGCAATGTAACCTAGACCCCCTTAAGATAAGCGAGCTTTCGGATTTCAGCAGCGGTAGAGTCTATGGGGCCATAGCAATAAACCCCAAAACCAAACCGTCGCCCCTAAACTCCTTAAACCTCAAACCGTGGGTCTGCGTAGGGTTTTGGGCTGATGGTCCCGGTGGATCTCCGAACTGTTTAAGTTTTCGGGATCTAGGATCTAGGGTTTAGGGCACCGCCTAACTACCTGAAAGAGAATGGCATTCACACTTCCTACCTTCGCCTTGCAACCGCTAGAAAATGCAAGCCCAAAACAACTGGAATCGTCAAAGCCCAGCAAATCCAAATGCACATCCTCAGGCTAGACCCCCATGCTCCCTAAACTAAACCCCTAAACCCAAATCCCCTAAGACAAAAAAATCCTAAACCCCTAAATCCTACACCCTAAACCCTAAACCCCTAAACCCTAAACTCCTAAAACCCCCAGCCCCGGACTGATGCCGTATGCGCCTTATCTCCTCACGCAGGCGGTCGTTCTCCAGCTTCACAGCTGCTGCCTGTCTACTGGGCCACAGTATTGCGGACGCTTTTAAAAGCAATGCTACTGGATTCGTAGTCGTTTGAGTAAGTATCATAAGTACTGCTGAAATCATGCTTAGAGAAGCACTACTGTATTCGCTTGAAGAAGACGTACTTTTGCTACTGCTTGAATATCGCTGTTGGTACGTACTAACTATTGAGGTTAACCATGTCTGTTCTCAGGCATTTCAAACCCCCCAGACTCATTTAGGTGGCTGACAAAAAAATATGGTCCCTTTTTGGGTACTAAATATTAGGTGCCGCATTATAATAAGGACCTCAAAAGGGACCATAATGTTGACAACCACCCGTTTGTGTCAGGCAGCCTCTGCTTCCCCCTAAGGCCCTAAACTCCTTAAACCCCAAACCCTAAACCGTGCCCTACACCCAAACCACAACATCTTGAAGCCCAACCCTGAAGCTTACTGAAGGCGAGAACCCCCAGATCTACAAAGTAAGGAATGCCAGCTGAACGAATCTCCCGCATGTTGCCCTGCAGTCGTACCATATCGAAGTTGGCATGCCCACCCCCTGGACGAACAGCTCTGGCCGAACCCCCCAAACTCCAAATTGAGGCCTGTGTTCCATAAAACATGGGGCTTCGGATTCGAAACCCTGAACTCTAAATCCTGAACGCTAGACCCTACACTCTGAACTGCCTATACCTGCAAGCCCCCTGGAAGCCGAAACCCAAACCCCCAAAACCCCCAAACCCCAACCCTGAACCCTAAACTCTGCCCCTACTTGGGGTCTTTTGCACGCCTGCACGAGATTTGGTGCCGTGCCACTTCTTGACATGGTGGAACCTTAAGAAGCCAAATCAACGGCATAGGATTTTGGGGCTTGTTGCTATAATTCATATTCGTAGTAGCCTTCTCAGTATTACTATTATTCTGAGTATCGACTGCAGCATGCCTCCGATTTGTAGGTTTGGGGCTGAGTACTCTCTTAATGACTGAAGGATTGTCCTGGTGGGAGGATCGTACATCTTGCACCACCAGCCTCAATACAGAACGACCCCGGGCCCCTCCAGCCTCATTGCAGTGCTTCAGTGGTCGCGCGTGGCATTTTTCAGTCAGGCACCCTTTTCAACAACGGATCTGAGCACATCTCTGTTCCAATTAAACACCAACCCATCTAGTGTCAATAGTCCCTTGCGTCCTTGAAACCAACAGGGCCGTGGTCCCCAAATGGGCAATTGAATAATGTGACCCAAACTTGTACTGTAGGGGCCTTAACAATTAGAACAGGATTTTGGGGCCCATTATACTATAAGTATAATGAGGAGCCCCCAGAATAGCATAGGTAATTATTTAGGGCCCCTATATTAATGCCATGATGATCCTCCTGAGTACTGGCTGCAGCTCGCACCTCTTGCTCTGACAGGGCATCTTGCAGGCAATGCTGAGGGAGACATGTGGCCGCAGTGCTTCATTCTCCAATACCTACATAAATTGCTGTCCCACAACCCAAACCCTAAACCTCTCCTGACCCTGAGCCCTAAAGCCATGCACCCAACAACAGAGATCCGCCAGAACTCTGAGTTGCCAGCCATGCGCTGGAGAGGCCGTTGAGGCCCTGACTAGCTTAGGGTTTGCCCTAAGGCCTACCTGAACCTCCAAAAGTAGGTTTAAAGTTAGAAATGTCCCAGCACCGATAAACGGCTATTATTCTACATAGTCTTGCGGTAGGGTGGGCTTAGTGTGTCAGGTCAATCGGGACGCCTGAATAATTGGCAATACGATTCCTTTTCGGGTGTCCTTATGTATTTACTGTTTCTATTTTAGCCATAGTATAGAAAGGCAAAAACAACAACTTATGGGTGGTTGACAAAATTATGGTCCCCTTTTGGGTACCCCAACTATTAGGTGCCGTACTATATTAGGGACCCAGAAAGGCACCATAATTTTGACCACCACCCTTGTTCAGGCTCCTGCATGAATCGGGGATGATCATTCCTGGTCTCAAGCGCGGGTTCAGGATTCAAGCTTCCGGGTTGAGGGCTTAGTGTTGAGGGTTCAGGGGTGTAGCCCTAAACCCGAAACCGTAGGGAGCTTTGGGTTGAGGTTTGGGGGTTTGGAGTTTCGACTTTTTGTTGAAACCTTGTTCACGTCAGCAATCGAGTCTGCCCTCGAAAGATCCCTAGGACCAGGCGAGAGGACTCGACCTTCGGGTTTTAGGGTTTAGGGATTTAGGGGTTAGGGTTTTAGGGGTTAGGGTTTAGGGTTTAGAGTTTCGAGTTTAGGGTTTAAGTTTAGGGATTAAAACTTCGGGTTTAGGGTTTAGGGTTTGGGAAGGTTAAGTTTCAGGTTTTGGGGGGTGATCGGAGCATAGAAATATGGAACCCTGTGAACGAACCCTATCCTAGTCACCATTCTGCGCACTACACTAATGAATGGGTTTCAGCAGGATATAGAGGATGCACAAACACCAGAAACCTCAACAAACCCTACAAACAACATGAATCAGTGCTTAAAGGACTTTGGAGGCTATGAAGGAAACGGTAATCCAGAGACCAGGCGTCGGGCGTCGATCCCCCATGTACGTAGCCGGCCTGGCATCGGCAGAGAGCCGGTTTAGGGTCTAGGGTAGCCCTGCTTGTAGGCGTTGTAGGGTGGGGTTTAGGGTTCAAGGTCTTGATAACGGGGTGATACCTTGAACCATAGCAAGACCACCTGCCTGATCTGGTTCCAGTCAGCCTGAACCCGCATCGCTAAACCCTCAACCCTGCACCCCCGAGCCCTAGATATTACTTGGAGGATCATGGGACTTAGTAACGAGGGTTACTATTAAGGTAACTATACTTATAACTACTTATAACCCCAACTAAGGTACTTATAAGCATACTTACTAAGTCCCATGATCCTCCAAAACTCGAGGTTTTGGGGGTTTAGGGGTCCAGGCGTTCCGTGTTTAGGGCTCCCTTGGTTTGAGGTTTCACGGGGTGTGGATTTACTTTCTTTTTCTTAGCGGCTGAGTTCATAAGCCCCCAAGAAGTGTACACTTTCAGCTTTATAGTGGGAAGTGTATCCACTCAGCTCCTAAGTTTTGGGGTTAGGAGTTTTACGTCAGAAGTTTTCACGATTTTGTACCTACGTAGAGTTTAGAGTCAGGGACAGCCGTCAACCCTTGCACAGTTTCATCTGAAATTTCGGCTTGCGATCTAACCCCAGGCCGCCGAAATCTTAACTCAAAACCCAAAAGCCCCCAAGCCGCGAGCGACACAAAGCGAGCGAGAGGGAGAGGGATGCAACGCTCGAATCGAAACAGAAGAAACTAAGAAAGACCTCGGCTCAGCGAAAGTCCTGAATAGAACTCAAGTGCAAGCTAGACCCTAAACCCTTATAAACCCTAAACCCTAAACCCTTATAAACCCTAAACCCTAAACCCTTATAAACCCTAAACCCTAAACCCAAGCTCAGGCTCGAAAGCCCCGGGCGAACTCTCATCAGTAGGGACCCCAAAAAGCACATAAGAAAAAAGGCAGATAGGGTTCTTCCATATGGGTGGTTGTCAAAATTAGGGTCCCTTTTTGGGTCCCTACTAATAGTACGGCACCTATTTTAGGGTACCCAAAAGGGACCCTAATTTTGACAACTACCCATATAAACCCCCCCTTATCATGAAGCCCAATATAAGGAAGGGCTATCCCTACAATGCATATGCTGATGTCCTTCTTGCCTGGTTGGGTCCCTAAACCAGTTTTCAGACTCCCGGGCCTGTCAGGGACAGCGCGGGCCAAAGTTTCGGGTCTTCCAGTTTCAATCAAAGGGGAAAAGGAGGGACCCTTAATGGGGACCCCTACCCTATAATGGGCTATATAATGGGTATATAATGGCTATATTAAGGGTATATACCTAGGGGTCCTTATTAAGGGTCCCTCCTTTTACCCTTGGATTCCAGTTTCAATGCAGGCAGGCGGGCTACAAATACATCTTCTTCTGGTGACACCCCAGACAAAGCAGGAAACCCTAAACCCGGAACTCAAACCCTAAACGCCAAACCCTAAATGTCAAATCCCCAAACCCAAAACCCCAAAACCCAAAGCCCTAAACCCCTAAACCGAAACCCTGAACCCTAAGCCCTAAACCCCTAATTAAACCGAAACCCTCAATCCCAAACCCTAAGCCCTAAACCCCTAGTTAACCCCAAACCCTCCAACCCTTAACCCAAAGCCTTGGCATCATCCGATGTCCGACTCGGTGGGCGCGTGTGCGTCACGGGCTCCAGAAAGACTTCCTCGGAGAAAAAATAAGTCTTTGTCTACTGTAGGGACCTTTTGTTCCGGAAGTGGCTGGTGACCGAAGTCGCGCTCATAAATTCGAGCGTGCATGAGTACTGCAGGGGCCTTAATAATTAGAATAGGCTTTCCTTGAAAGGGGTCTATATGAGGGTTACTATAAGGGATCTAGAGTAGGGTTCTATAGTGTAGGGGCCTTAATAATTACAATAGGGTTTCCTTGAAAGGGTCCATATGAGGGTTACAATAAGGGATCTAAAGTAGGGTTCTATAGTGCAGGGGCCTTAATAATCAGAATAGGGATTCGTTGAAAGGGGTCTATATGAGGGTTACAATAAGGGATCTAGAGTAGGGTTCTATAGTGCAGGGGCCTTAATAATTAGAATAGGCTTTCCTTGAAAGGGTCCATATGAGGGTTACAATAAGGGATCTAAAGTAGGGTTCTATAGTGCAGGGGCCGATGCTACAAGGCCTAGGCTTCACCCTCGGCTGCGAAGGTTGGGTCCCTTGTCCATGGAGTAGTCCGGCGGCAGAGGTGAAGTCGGGGCTCACAGTCCACGAGGTTCAAGAATCCGACTCACTTGAACTAGGATTTCGCGAGGTTTCGCCATTAAACATAACCATCAGAATTTGCAATAAGCCAACACCAAACACTGCAAGCCCGAGATAGACCCCTCACACCTAAACTCTGAAACCCTCAGGCCCCCCCCCCCCTCAAAAACAAACAAAAGAAACACGAAGCCCTAAACCCATATAGAACCCAACTAGAACCCTTCTAAACCCTAAACCCTTCTGAGCTTTAAGAAACAAGTTGAAGGCTCGGGCCCGGGCTGGTTTGCTCTTGCTGGAGAGCCTCTGGCGCCTCAGCTTCGGAGGAGCTAAACTCACTCGTCCGGTATCCTATGGGAACTAAAGGTTAACCTTTGGGATAATATGGGTATTAGAGTACCGACCCCTTGAACGGTTTTAAAGGCTACCTACGGTTACCACCACAGAAAGATGCTCGAATTGCGCGGGGCTTGATGGGGCTTTGGATTGTACGTCATACCTATGCCTTCCCAGACCACCGGGAGGATCTAGAAAGTAGATCCCCTAATTTGGGGCCCTATACTGCTAAGGGTACTTTATAGGAACCCCCATTAAGGGATCAGGGTTTGGGGGTTTCAGGGTGGGTTCTGGACTGCACAACCTGAACCTCGAGGATCGACGGATTTCGGGTACAGCTTGCCGGGTGCAGAGAGTCCGGCCAACGTTCAGGATTTAGGGTTTTTTTTGTTAAGCTCCTTTTTCCAGGGGGCGGCTCCATGCTGCATCCTAGGATTTAGGGTTTATTTGCCAAACACTTAGCTCAACCCTGATAAAGCCTCCATTCTCGAATCTCCCAAGTTGTCAAGCATCTGCCTGTTGTTCGAGATTCCTCCCTGGAGACATACCATCGACATGAGTAAACTACTGTTAACCTGACTACCTGAGATGGAGTTTATGTAGCACCCTTGCAAGGAGGAACCCACATTACAGGATCCTTAGACTAACACTGTTAAATAACCTTTATACTTCA